CTTGAAACATGGAAACATTTTTTGGGGGGGTGGAAATCATGATTTTCAGATGTCCTGATAATTCTTGCTTATATCTCCTTGACTTGTTTTCTAGACTAGATTAGCACATATCATATTTTCTTCTTTTTTTTCAGTCTTCTGATTTTTGATATTTTCTATTGTCTCAGGAAGTCCTTACTTTCCATTTGGTCTATTCTAATTTTCAAGTTCAATTCTTGGGTAAAGTTTACCACCTGCTGTTCTATGCTATTAATTCCCTTTCCCATTACATTTTATATCTCTTGCTTCATTTCTTCCAGGTACTCCTGTAATCCTTGTGGCAAGGTCATTTTTTTCTCTGAGCTTCTACCTGGACTTGTAGTGGAGTTACATTCTTTGTCTGGATTTACCTCTTGGACTCCTCTCAGTCTCTAGTATTTCTTCACTGTGTTTGGCATTTTCTTCTGTTTACTCATGTCTACAGCCACAGGTTCTGGATTGGGGCTTTGTGCTTGGGCCAGAATCTGCTCCCTCCAATCCCCTTGGATGATCTGGACAGGCCCTTCTTAGTCTTGGATGAAGGGCCTAGTGGCCCTGCCCTCTTTTGTAATTCCTGGCTTTGGGCTTCGTCTCCTGGCTTCTTGACTTAGGTTCTGGCCTTGGATCCTTCTCTATCTTCTTTTTGCATAGTTCCATACTGGAAGTTAGCTCCAGCCCTTGTTGTGACCCTGACAGATTATATCTAGATATTACTGACTACACTGGTAGCAGACCTCCTGCAAGACCCCAGATGTTCTCTTTTGGGGCAACTGTCATCATCTCTTCTCCTGCCATGGGCTTGGGCATGAGCTGCCTGGGTGCTGGGCTACTCCTATCTCCTGCTATATGGCCTCTGGGTTGGGAACAGGTTGCCTGTGTGCTAGTCTGGGGCAGTTAGGTGGTACAGTGGTTAGCTATTATTATTAGTCTAGCCCTATCTCATTTTGTGGGTCTCAGCTGCCTCCGTGGTATGCCTCCCACCTGCCCTCTCTTGTCTCCACTCAGAGCCTTTGCACATTTCTAGCAGCATACTTGGGTAATCTTTATTGTTGTTTTTTATGGTGCATTTTTAAGAGTTTTCATGGAGGTATCTGGACTCCTCTAAGCCCTAATATGCTACCACCTTAGCCAGAAATCTCCAGGTGACTTTAACTGATTAAGAACATCTCCAAAGACTATCACTGTGTAGTCCTACATCCTATACTGCACAGGAAGCTACGTGATACAAGGGATAGAACACTGGACAAGGAGTCAGAAAGATCCAAGTCCAAATATAGCTTCAGACACTTGCTAGCTGTGTGACCCTGGGCAAGTCACTTAACTTCTCCTGCCTCAGTTCCCTTATCCGTAAAATGGGGATAATAATAGCATCTTCCTCCCAGAGTTGTTGTAAAGATCAAATGAGATAATATTTGTAAAATACTTTGTAAACCTTAAGACACAATGTAAATGCTAATTATATTAGAAGAGAGTGACACTTTTCCTCCGAGCCCAAGGAGAAAAATATTTGGCTTATGACAGAATGGAGATTCAGTACCAGCAATCTCGGTTTCAGCCCAGCTGTCCCTAGCATGAACCTAAGTAGCCTCCTGGGTGAAAGATGTAGTCTCCATTTCATTGGGTGAAAATATATCTGTCCTGGTGTGTGTCACCCTTGGGTAGCAGGGCTGGCTAGAAGGAGATGAAGCCTAACCAAAAGGTCAGACTAGAAACTGTGGGCATGGCTCTAGCCACACTGTTCTAGCTCGAGTTCCATCCTTTGCCTCTAATCACTTTGTTGCACTTGGCTCCTATCTTCTACTTTTCCTTTCTGCAAAGCTTTCTGTTCACTAGAGAAAAATCACCTTGTGATTGTATCAGATTTCCTAATGAATATCTAAAAAAGTTGTCACTGCATTTATAATCAGGGAAAGAACTCTGGATGCAAATGATTATACAGGTCTGGCCAAAAGATCCAGGAAGAATGTATCCCTGTACCCGCCCCTCTGCCTCCTGAAGAGGGTGCTGTGCTCCTGGGGCTGCTCCTGCCACTGGGGCATGGTGCCAGGGATGGAGGTAGGGCAAGCAAGTGTAGAGGGGAGGGATGAGCCAATCTAAAAGAGGCAATTCTCTACACCCCACCCCACCCCCCCAACCTCAGGCTGCAACAGGTTAAAATTCACTCCTCTGTGGATCCTGGGATCTAGCAGTGCAGACACATGCTAAGTGCGCAGACATCACACACAAAGTCCTATGATATGTGAGGCAGGGACAAAAAAAATACTTTAGATGGCTCACACCACTAGGCTGCTTTCCTTTGGAAAAAACACACAGAATGTTCACATGAATGCACGCATGCACACAAACATACAATTTCAATAAATATACTGACACCCCTCTGAAATCCAGGTACTTTGCACAATAAGATGATAGAATCATAGATTTAGAGCTACAAGAGATCATAAAGGTCATCATTTTACACAGCAGGAACCTGAGGCTCCAAGAGGTGAAGGCAATGTTAGTCTATGACAGCAGCAAAGGAAAGATTTGAATCCAGGCCCTCTTAACTCCAAATCCAGTGCTTTCTTTGGGGGACCATGCTTCTAATCTCATACACACTGAGAAGAGGTGAAGAGCCTCCATGTCAAACATTCATTCCACTCTATGCACATACTCCTGCAGAGTCACATGCCCTAGGGCTCATCTAGACAGCACACATCCCTACTGTGGGCAGCTTTGGGGCCCTCATAAACCCTGGCTTCTCCTTCATATCTCCCAGAGGGGCCATCCCACTCAACTTCTCCAGGGGATGGAATGGGGAGGATGCTGCTGGTGGGCAAGGAACAGATTAATGGGAGAACTAGAATGTTAAGAATTCCTTACGGAGACCAATCCACCAAAGGAATCTCTCTCTTCTTCAGCTACACAATCTACCATCTCAGCAGCTGTCCCTTTCCTGAGTAAAGGATAAGGGAAAGGAAAACTGAAGAAAGGAAGACTGCGGGGAGGGAGGTGTCTAGCCTTCTATTCTGCAGAGAGCTAAAAGGCTCATGAGGTTGACAGCCTTGGTTCCTTTCCCCAGAACCTTCTCCAGTCCTGACACAGCCCTCTCCCTGCTGGTGGGTGGCTCCAACATCCTCCCTTCCTCCTTCACCCTCCCTCCCTGGCCTTGACTGCAGCTCCATCCAATGGCCAAGGCAAGCTGCAGCCAGAGGAGAGGGAGTGACATACAGGCCTTTGGGGAAATTAACTTTACAAGAACATTCGCTTTATCTCAGCCCTACACAAAGACTGTGAAGAATGTTGGCAGCCAGTGCTGGCTGGCGGGTTTTATGTGTTGGGAAAACAAATGCAGGCTGAGCCATGAGGATTGTGCTATTTTCTTTCTATAAATATCAATGAAACGTAATATGTGGACTTGGGAGGTGTGATTCTCTACCCCCACGCCCCTACCCCCAACTAGAGGAGGGTAAAGGACTATGAGGATGGGTTTCCTCTGGTGTCTTATTCCAGGTGCCTGGAGGAAGTGTGTGCATGTGTGTGTGTGTGTGTGTGTGTGTGTGTGTGTGTGTATGTGTGTGTATGTGTGTGTAGAAAAGGGAGTGGTATACATCTGCACTAGCCTTCCTCCCCACCAACTGTACCATATGGAGAAAGTTGGGGTCATCTGGTTAGTTAACCCTCTTCTCCCTGGGAAGGAGGGGCTCCTCCCACAATATTCTACCCCTTGAACTCTTCCCAAAGGACTGTTTTAAATCCTAAGATTCTGAGCTCCATACAGATATCTAACTGAAAAGCAGGAGAAAGGATGTGCTGAGAAATAAGTCTGGGGAATTATGTAGAGCTTGCTAAGGCAGGGGATGTTCCCGTGGCTAAGTGCTAGGTAGAGAACAAGCTTCTCCCCTCCCAGACCTGGAATCTGCTCATCCCAAAAGCTTTGGCTACAAAAAAAAGAGTGGCTCCTTTTAACCACAGCTTATTAATGATGGCAGGTCAAAGAGGGTAGGGTGGGTGGCCTTCCTGCCATGAAAAGACTCCAGGTCTCCATGTAGTTACTTGGGCCAGCATCTCTGGGTAAGGAGAAAGGATGGTGCCTGAAGATGTCCCCAACCCAGGGAATCCCCTGAAGATATCCTTATCCTTTAAGATGTTCAGTTCTTTTTTTTTTTTTTTTTTGGTTGGGCAATGGGGGTTAAGGGACTTGACCGGAGTCACACAGCTAGTAAGTGTTATGTGTCTGAGGCCAGATTTGAACTCAGGTCCTCCTGAATCCAGGGCCGGTGCTCCATCCACTGCACCACCTAGCTGCCCCTAAGACGTCCAGTTCTTAATCCCAAAAGTAAAGAGACTGAATAGAGAAACCTGCCCTGATGCTGCCAGAGCAAAAGGGAGCCAGCCCTTTTCCAGATTCCACAGGTGTGTGTGTGTGTGTGTGTGTGTGTGTGTGTGTGTGTGTAGGGGGTCCTACACAGGTGGACTCATGGCCCCCCTGAGCTCCAGGGAAGCCAGAAGCATGTCCATGGTCAACTTGGATGAGGTCAAGAGGAATCCTTCATCTTTACAAAACTTGGTAAAAATAAAATCAGCTTTCAAACTGTAGCCAGCAGAAGCACACAGTTGTCAAAGATGGGCTTTGGGGTCATCCTTTAAGTCAATCCTGTGTGTGTATGTGAATTGGAGTCAATGGTTTGGAGTTCAAATCCTTACTGCTACTATGTGATATTGGGCAAGTCAACTCACTTTCTGTACCTCATTTCCTCATATGTAAAATTAGAGGACCAGACTAAATGATCCCTAAGGTCCCTTTCTGCTCTAAAGCCTTTGAACCTAGTTCATCAGCTATAGGTTTAACTGGGTTCAAAAGGAACCTCCTACAAGCTTGCTTCACCTCAGGCATCACAGAGAGGTTGTGGTGGGAAGGTAAGTCCCAAGCTTGCAGGTCAGTGGTCCAATGTAAAAGGATTAAGCAGAAAGGAGTAAAGGAAGACCACCAGGTTCCTTACCTTCTGTGACTCGGTCACACTTCTGCCGCTGGAACTCCAGGTCTGCCAGCTCACTAAGAAGGGCGATGCCATGAATTCCTGAGCTACCCTGAAGGGCAGGAACGTTTGGAAGCTGTAGTGGGGCTGAAGGTTGACTGCTGGGTGGGCTTAGTAAGGGCAGGTCTCCCAGGTCAACGGTGGCTGCTACCAAGGCATCCAGGCCTGGCAATGATTTGGGCAGGTGGTTGTCCTCTTGAATCATGTCCCAAGCCTCCTCTCCTTCTTCTTCCTCTTCTTCCTCTTCTCTTTCTTCCTCCTCTCCTTCCTCTTCCTCCTCCTCCTGGGGGTCGGGCCCCTCTCCCACCTCTTCCTCTCCCAGACAATGTGGGCTTAGTGCTCCCTCCTCAGAGGCCACGGGGGAGGACCTTGCCAGCAGCCCTTTGCCATCCCCCTCCTCAGTCCTCTCCTCTTCTGCCCCTTCCTGAGTAGAATCTATGCAGCTCCTTGTCTCAGGGCCTTCTCCTTCCATGAGGGCACCATAGGGGAGTTCCTGAAGCTCCCCCAGCCCACTGGGAGCAGCTGCCTCGCTGGGGGGCCCCATCTCCATGGGGTGCGGATGCCCATGAGTGTGTGGCTGGCACTCCAGCTCCAGGGCCCTTGGTTCGGTGCCCTCCACCTGGCCACCTGCTCCCTCTACCAGACTGGCCTCATCCAGAGCACTGGGATCACAGTGAGGCCCCTCTGAGGGTGGAAATGTCCTGGACTGCTCGGGTTCGGCTGCGGTGGAGACAGTTTGCATAGTTTCAGGGTCTGCGGGATCAGCTGAGTGCATGTCATGGGGTAGAGGGGAAGAATAGCCCATGCTGACTGCAGGGTAGGTGTATCCTGGGGGCAGGTCTATGTGAGAAAGAGAGAGAAGAAGAAGAAGAAGCTAATAAGACTGGTGAAGAGATTATGGGCACTAAGGGGCTCGCCCTGAGCCCCACTGGAGGAGGGCATCCCCAACACAGTTCTCTAGGAACCAAACATCAGTTGACTGCTGGAGCTCCCTAACCTGTACCAGTGAATACTCTAAATTCTGCATAGCTACCATCTCCAAGATGAGAAGGACAGAGGTAGATACAGACTTTTCTGACCATGAAAGGATCCCAGCCTTTCCTCTTTTCTCTTCGCCCAGCCCCCAGCCACCCCCAGGCCCTGGAACACCAGACCCAGACAAATGGGGACTATAGGGCTAAGCTGGAAGGTGAGACCCTGGGCTTGATTTTAGGGCTCAGCGACTCTTACTCAAAGGGCAAGTGTACCAGCTTCTCTAGGGAATAAATACCTCCCTCCCTGTAAGGACTCTGAGATACATTCTGGGGCTTAGGAGGAGGAAAAAGGAATACTCAGGGCATCAGAGGTTGACAAGATGGAGGGTCACACTGAAACAACTCTGACACTCTCCCAACCCCAAATCTAAATTGTTTACCCCTCTAGCCTAGAGCCCTGCTGCCTGCTGCGTCCCCACCTCATAGATACGCCCTTTGGTCTGTCTGAAGGACAGACTAACCAGAGAAGGGGGATTTTTTTTTTAAAGCCATGATGCTTGAATCAGGGCTTTCCCTGACCCAGAACGAGCCGGCTGCATGTCGGAGGCATTACGCCCCATTAACTGTAATAAAAAAAAAAACCTTAAAAAAAACCCTGTTGGCTCTGTCTCCTTATTGTGAAACTGGGACTGGTTTTATGTTCGCCACACGGATTTCCAATGTAAACACTCAGCCTAATTCAGAGAGAATTAAAAAGCCTTGTCGGGGAGCTGGCACTGAGAGTTGGCTGGCGTGGCTGGGACTGGCACTCAGGAAGAGGTGGCTTCTGTGGCAAAGGCGGGTGGGCAGGCGGGAGGTGAGACTAGGGCCCTGGTCAGGGTCTCCTATAATAACTTTCCTTCCTCTCAGGTTAATTCTCTCAACATCCCCATCCCAGTTTCTCTTTCTTTTTCCCCCAACCCTTGCTGCTCTGTGACCGCAAAAGTCCAGAGAGTTAGTGGCTAGAAATGACCCCACCCTCTTGTCTCCTTCACCTCCAAAGTTTCTCTGTAGCATGGCCACACATTGTTGCTCCTAAGATCTCTCTGCTCAGCAAATGGCCCTGAATGGATGAATGGTACTGCTATTCCCTTCCATTCCTCTGCCAAAGGGATTGGTGAAAGAAAAAAGCTAGGACCTTGCCCATCCCCCCACTAATCACCCCAGTCTGTGGTCTAAGAAGATGCGGGTGGGGGAAGGAAAGGAGAGGGATTTCTCTGGAGGTCCTGCCTTATCAGGGATGGGGTATGTGGGCCCGGCATGTCTTGTCAGAAAGAAGACATCTAAGACAAGGAGCGAGAAGTAGGCCCTTTCTAAAAGTCAGGGCTAGAAAAATGGCTGTCTTCCAAAAGCTTCCATTTGGGCCAGGACCTCGCTCCCCTCGAAGCAGACTAAATGACCCCGAAAGTCATTAAGATCAAATGTCTCAGACAAGAGATACCCATGACGTTGAACCACTTCTGCCCCTCTGTCTTCCTAGGATGGGAGAGGTTAGCTTCCTTTCAAATGATTTCTTTCCAGCCAGTCATAGCATCATAGATTTGGAGCAAGAAGCGATCTAGCCCAACCCTCTCCCTTTACAGATAAGGAAACTGAGGCTAGGAAAATTGCCCAAGGTTACACAGCAGATAGTAAATGGCAGAGCCAGGATCTGAACCCAGGTTCTTTGACTCTAGATCCAGCATGCTTTTCATGCCCCCCCAAGAAGCCCCCCATGAATCTTACCTGGTTCTAGTGATTTGGGATAGTCTTGCGGGGGCTGGCCCTCTCCTCTCTTGTCCTCCACTTCGGTACCCTTAGAGCTCTGAGCAGGGCCAGGACTGGTGGCTGGGGAGCGGGGCGCCACAGCAGAGCTGGCAGTGGGGCAGAGGGGTAAAGTGCACGGGGCAGTGGAGAGTGGCGTGGTGCATTTGGAGGGGTGCCGCAGGGCAGGAGAATGGCAGCAAGGTGAAAGTTTGGCAGGGCATGGAGCAGCAGCCGGTGGAGAGGCGCCCTTGGGTAGGGGGGTTAAGGCAACTGGTTTGTGAGAGGACTTCAGCGTCTTCTCGGGGACTGCATCTTCAAACTCTGCATGGTAATCCTCAGGCTTCCTCTGGGAAAGTGGAGACAGAGCATGGTCACCACCATCACCATGACTGGCCAGTGGCAAAGGGGGCCACTTGGGGAGCTCTACGCCCTTCCTGGGGCTACAGTACCCTGGGAGTCCAGCATGAGGGACAAGGAACAGGGCCTTTAGCACGGTCGTGAAAAGGGGGATCCTAGGGAACAGGACAGAGTGCAGCAAGGTGATGAGATGAGAAATAGAGAGAAAACACGCTAAAGGTTCTGAACAAGGCAATGGGTTCTCCAGAAGGGACGGGGGAAGGTTTTCTAGCTCTGGGAGATGGAGAAGGGGAGCTGTTTGGCTTGGGTGAGAACATCACCACTATGGCAGGATAGCAGGTCCCTTGTGGAACAGCAGAGGAAGAAGAAGGTTGTGCCCATGGGGAACTGGAGGGAGAAGGAAGGCGGTCTCTTTGGTACCTGAAGCTGGGATTTCCGCTGCATTTCTAGTGCCTGGGCTGCTCTCTGCTGCTGCTGGAGGGCATAGAGCTCTTGCTGCCGTAGAAACTGGGAGCGGGAATAGACGGGAAGCTGGCTAGGGTGCTGCATGTGGGAGGCAGGCCCCCGACCTGGGTACATGGGTGGCCACAATGAAGCCTGGTCCATGACGTCAGCTGCAAGACGGTTGCACAGGGAAGAAGGAAGGAGACCAAAGTCACAGAAAATGTTAGACAAGTGGCATGGGGGTGGGCTGTGCTTCAAACGGGGGCCCCCCTGTCAGCCCACCCCTAACTCCCAGGGACTGCGATGACTGCCCTAAATCCATCCACTCTGACAGGTTGGACTGTCCAGGAACAAAATGGCTCTTCCCAAGTGGGATCCAAAGTGGTTTATGATGTTACATTTCCCATCTCCCTTCTTCTTGTCTTTTCTCCAATCTCCCCTCTTCCCTTTTGACTTTCATTTCATTTAAGTGACTAATATATGCTGAGCTAGGCACTGGGGATACAAGGCAAAAATGAGATAATCCCTGCTCTCGGAGAGTTTGCATTTTGATGGGGATGGAAGTGGAGAAGAATGATTTTCTTTCCGCCCTTTCCTATTCCCCTCCCTTCTCTCCTCCATTTTCCCTTTTCTCCTATCTCCCCTTGTTCTTTCCCTTTCTCCTCTTCTTTCCTTGTCTTCTCCCTCCTGCCACATCCTTTACTCCTCTCCCCTCTCCCTTCTTCTCCACCCCCTTCCTTTTTGTTTCTCTCCCTCTTTTGCGTCTCTCCATCTCAGCCCTCATTATCTCCTCTTCTTCCCTCGTGTTCCAGATGGGGCTGGATTTGGGCAGAGGCTTGGATCAGAATGGTTTTGAGTAGGAACTGGCAAGAAACCCAGTCTAGTGCTTCCTGGGCCTCAGGCCCTTTGCAATACCCAAAAGGGGATGGCAACAGAATCCTCCCCAGGTCCCTAGGCTTTCCCTTACCAAGTGAATGGGGAGCAGCATGGGGTGTAGATCTCGGTGGTCGCCGTATCATTAAAAAAGGGGGGTCCTGGGACAGGGGAAACATGGACTGCATTGTGCTGGGCATGGTGGCTGGGAAGCCAGGTGGCAGGTTCTGGTGGAGAGCCGGGTGGCCAAGCCCTGCAGAAGAGCAGGTACACAGTGGTCAGTGCAAAATGGTGGAAGCAGAGGGTACCACTGGCTTTAACGGGAAGCAGACAGCACTGAGGCTAGCATGCTAAAAAAGCCAGGGCTAAGAAAATATCATGACAATCAGAGCTGCTGGCTATATTGCCTGTGGAGTTGGACAACCCTGGAGCCTGTGCCTGGGGCTCCAATTTGTTGGGTTCCATGATGACTTATGGGGCTCCAATGGGAGGCACTCTTCTAGAGGTCTGGAGGCCAAATTAGAGTTCAGCACCAAAGGAAATGATCTTGCTGTTTCTGAGCCTCCCTCTGGGGCTTCTGTCTAAGCCCAGTAGAATCAGAGGCCCAGCCAGGGAGCAGGAAGGACTGGCAGAGCTACATGAAGCCATGCAGGAGAGAAATAGATGGACGGTATCCTCAGGAACCAATAGGACACAGAGCCAGGGAACCAGGAAGGACCTCAAGTGGTTTGTCCTTCTTATTTTAGGAGGGGCAAAGAGCAATAGTGGTCTAATCACCTTGGACACTTTGCTTACCAGAAGTGTTTCCTAGGTCAAAAATTGACTAGAGACCAGTAAAATATTCATATTTTCTACCATGGACATTTTTACTCCCTATAGGCTCAGCAGAGAAGCTTCCAGTGGCTTTGGGAGTAGGCAGTGTGAGCCAGAGACAGGAAGGGGACCAGAATGGGTAGTACAGGATGCAGAGAGAGTTAGGTTTTTGTTTGTAAGTTTAAAAAAGTAACGATTTTTGATATCAAAAGTTTTGTGGGCCAGAAAAAAAATATCTGAAAGGGACAAATGTGGCAAAGCACTGGCCTGAAGACTAGCATCCTGTAGAATTACCTAGCCTGCTTTGGGGAAGTTGTCTCAACCTGAATGTAAGCTAGCAAGGGATATGCAGGAAGGACAAGGGCTTTGGATGGGGGTGTAGGGCACCCAGTGTCCAGTGATTCTAATCATCATCTGGGCACCAAAGGAAGGAAAAGCCAATGAGCTACCTCAACCCCACTTCTACCATCTCCTATGTCATCCCCATCTTACCCCTGAATACTGACCGTAGGAATGTCCTCCCATCCAAATGGAGGGACTGCGGGTTCGGGGTAGCCAGGGGGGGGTGAGCTGGATGGGCGTGGGTAGTAGGATCACCCCCAAGCTGGCTAGTTTGCAGAGATGATCCTCCAGCAATCATGAGGTGGGAGGTCACATCTCCTGGGCAGCCACTGGATGGGTGAATTCGGGCAAACTCAACAAGGTCTTTGTTATCCCTGAAAAGACAATACGGATCGAGTAGGGTCCAGGAGTTCCACTCATACCCTAGTCCCTTCACCTTAGAACAGGGAATCTTAATCTGGGGTCCACGAGTTTATTTTTTAAATTATTGTACTAACTATTTCAACAGAACTGGTTTCCTTTGTGATGCTATTTATTTTATGCATTTAACAAAATTACTCTGAGAACAGAACATAGGCTTCACCAGGCCGCCAAAGGGGCCCATGGCACCAAAAAAAAAAAAAAAGGTTAAGAATGCTTGTCCTAGAATCATAGATTTTAGAGTCAGCAGGGCTAGGCATGAGAGGTTGAGCCTGCTAGAATCCCTTGAACTTAGAATTCTAAGACACTGTGGGATGAAAGGTAACTGGGTGTCCGCACTGAGTCCAGCACCAAAGTGGTAAGCCCCCAGCGTTTGGGGCATCAGGCTGTCTAAGAAAAAGTGAAGTGGCTCAGATAGGAAATAGCTTCCATAGCTGCTGCTATGGAAATAGCATAGATCTAGTAGTGGGATCATGGCTGTGAGCACCTGTGGTAATTCCAGCTGTGGCAAGATAGGGAGATGACTAGGGGATGAGAGAGAGAGAGGAGAAGGAGGAGGAGGAGGAGGAGGAGAAAAAGGAGGAGGAGCAGAAGAAGGTGAAGAAGAAGGAGGAGGAGGAGAAGAAGGAGGAGGAGGAGGAGAAGAAGGAGGAGGAAGAGGAGAGAGAGGAAGAATAGGAGGAAGAGGGAGAGGAGAGGAGAGAAAGAGAAAGGAAAAGGAAAGATAGGGAAAAGCAGAGAGTGGAAGGGGACAAGAAGAGAGAAGGTGAGAGAGAGGGGAGGGGAGAAAGAAAGAGAGACAGAGATCAATTCAATTCAACCCCCTTCCTCATTCCCCAGACCCATCTTCTTTCAGATAAGAATATACCTCTACAGGAACACTTCCAATGGGAGTCCAGTAAAGTAGTAAGGGACCCAACAAACTGGAGTTCTGCATACAACCGAGTCTGAGTGGTGAAGTGACTGGCTCAACGATCATACAGACAGTAACTGGAAGAACCGAGACTGGAGCCCAGGTCTCACTCCCAGTCCAGCACCCTAGGGCTCCTTCTCCCTCACCTCTTACTCCCTCTGCTCAAAAGCCAGGTCCTTGACAGTACATACTCTGGAGAAGTATCATCACAGGGGAGGGAAATAATATTTTTATTCTTATACTTAGGGATAACAGATGGACAACTCCAGTGCACCAATAACACCCTCAAAATTCCATAAAAGTCCTGGAGCAGGAACTCTCAACCAGGAGTCCATGGATATAATTGGTTTCCTTTATAAAAATGTGATTTATTTTACGCATTTAAAAATATTCTTGTGAGAAGGGGTCCATGTTTCACAAGACTTCTCCAGGAATCTGAAGCCCCCAAAGAAGGGAGCTGATCCTGACCTGGAGGAAAGCCCTCAGCATGTTGGCTGGATCCTCTAGATGGCGGATCTCTGGAAGAATATGGACAAGAATCTTATCCATGATGAGAAAGCATGGATGGGATGGGATGTGCATCCATAAGAGGGAGACTCCCCTGGATGAGATTGCAACTCTATTGCAGTAATAGAGCATTCCACACTTGAGATAAGGTGGAAATATGAAGATCAGGTCAGCTCTATGATCTAAGGCCTTCATAACTAATGGGGACATTTGGGTGGGTGGAGGCCCAAGTTCCAGGCTATTATTATTGTCATTGTCATCACCATCATCATCATTATCATCATCATCATCATCATCATGACTAATAATGGCTCCCATTTATAAAGTGTTCTTAATGGTTTACAATATCCATTAAAATTCTGCTCCGTTGAATCTTACTGGCTATGCTGACTGAGCATAGGTTCTGGCATGTTCTACTAAGCTGAAAATACTCGTCCTGAGATAGACTATGTATGGATCTGTGGTCTGAGGAGCAGCCTGGCTAACGAGGTGAGAATTCGCTTGGTTACAGAAACTTATCAAGCCAACTCTGACTGTGGGAAGGCTCTGATCTTATGTTGGTGGAAAGAAAGAATACTCACACAGGTAAAATCACAGATCCTCTAAAGCAATGAAAAAGCAGATAGCTTCCAAAAGAGGCAGTGTGGTGTAGGGGTTAGAATGCTTGCCTCTGACACTTACAGGCTGTGTCCCCCTAAGCAAGTCCCATAACTTCTCAGAGTCCTGAGCAGCCCTCTAAGACTCTATGTTGCAGAGCAGATGCTGACATGCATTGACAGAAAGAACTTCCTTTGTGTTGACGCAGTGAGGTGGTACAATGGTTAGAGTACCAGACTTGAAGTCAGGCAGTCCCTGAGTTCAAATCTGGTCTCAGACACTTATTTGCTGTGTGACCCTGGGAAAGTCACTTAATAGCTCTGGGCCTCAGTTTCCTTATCTGTAAAATGGGGATGATAATAATAGCCTTATCTCTCCCAGGGTTGTTGTGAGAATAAAATGAGATATCTGTAAAATGTTTTGCAAACCTTAAAGCACTATATAAATGCTAGCTGCTGCTGCTGCTACTACTACTACTATTACTATTATTACTACTATTACTACTATTTCTCATTGGAAATGTTCTACATAAAATGAAATCCAGTTATAAAAATAAAAAGAACAAAAAAGTTTACAAGGTGCTCTTCTCAGAACAACAGTACATTATGTATTGTTCCATTTAATTATTTCAGTTTATCCACATGAAAACCTTGAAAGGGCAGGGATTACCATGACCCATTTTGGTGAGGGAAAAGCTCGGCCCCAGTCAGGTTAAATAAGTGGCTTAAGGTCATCCCACCAGGGAAGAGTATAGTGAGGAAGGGAACCCAGGACCCCTTGACCTTTAACTCAGTGATTTTTCTACATCACTATTCTCTGTATCAGGAGAGACTGGGCCTTGTCTAAATTAATCTCTGTGTGTGTGTGTGTGTGTGTGTGTGTGTGTGTGTGTGTGTGTGTGT